TTCAAATCACATTAATAAACAATTGGAACAAATGAAGAGTTAAAAGTACGGAACGTAAAAATCGTTTGCCTGCTCCAGTTTGAAATTTATTTATTTCTGACTTCAGTAAATCTTTGGCTCTTATTTTAAAATGCTTATCAGTTATTCTTCTCTTGTTGTGATGAGGATACAAATCCAGGCAGGTACATTGATTGTTCTGTGACGCAGATGGAAAAGACGGAAACCCAGCCAGGTTGGGGCTTGGTTTGTCAGGTGATTATCTTTTAATCGTGGCTTGATCGATGACTGTATGCCATGTGAAGTCACTGGAAAAGTGATGGTTACGTGAAATTGTGGAAAGATTGATGCAACAGGGGGAACCGTGCTTCCTGAGTCAATGCAATTGGCAATTTGGCAAATTGCGCAAATATGATTCCTCAGCTGCAGGATCAGGAACTCAGGGTAATCACTGTGTAAAAAGGAAAATGAATTTGCTAGCGAGTGCAGAAGGTAAGATGAATGTAAAATCAACCATCTCCAAGTGCACTAAGAGTAGTTCTGCCGCCTTGGCTTCCCGTTGCCAGGAGAGGGATGAGCTAACACCTGGGTGTGTGTGCGTTACCAACTGTGTCCACAGGAGATGATACGCCTGCTAAACCCGGGATTCGTTCTGTATGGACACCGTAAACAGGCATGCACACGTCCTCCATTTCACAGCCCATTGTTAACTCCGGCTTTAGAGCCACAGAAAAGAAAATGAAGTGTTGATGAAAAGCCGTCAGTCCTCCTGTAAACAAATGTAAGGTAAACGGACTTAGAGGGGCTTATTGTAAGTTCAGAGTCTTCAATTTTATCTCTATTTCCAAATGAAGGATTCTGAAGGCAAAGCCTCTCCAGGACTCTTTGTTTAGACTTTACAACAAAAATAGTCTTAGGGAGTTCTTGCCTAGAGGTTTTGTGGTTCTCTTGTGACCATGGAGATTAATCTTCTTCCTGGGAAATCAGCTGTTCACAACACTGCTGCTTTCATTCCCAGAGAATTTCCATTCCTGCCTGGGAATGTCGGATACAGCAACAAGCATTGAGGTCTCTAAATATTGCCCCCAGGTCACGAACTCCCTGACCCTGTCTCAAGTCCCCTTCAGTTATTCATTTTCCTCCTCACTGTGCCAGAAAGTTTTCAGGTGGCCACAGCCCAGCTGCATCTCAAGGGCACTTTCTGCTGTTGGTGATACTGCTGGGAGGTTGGGAGTGAAAAGCAAGACCATTCATTTATTCATTTACTCATGGATTTATTTAATCAGTATTTATTGTGCTCTTGTTGTGTTTCAGGCTCTACGTTGGGTAGGAGTAGTGCACTAGTGAGCTAAAAGAGACGCCATCCCAAGACTGACAGACCGTGTAGTCTGGGGGTGCAAGATCAAACAATCACACTGATTAATGTATATTTTCACACTGAGGTATTAAACATAACGGAAGAACTGGAGTTAGACTAGAGATACTCTGAGGAGACCATAGTTTTCCATGACTGGAAGAATGTGAAGGCAGAATGGGTGTGAGAGAAGAGGCCAGAGCCCCAGTGAAGGAGTGCCTATGGAGACTAGGGAGGTGCAGCAGGCCGAACCACAGGGAAATTAAAGCCCTTGTAGAGAATTTTGGTCTTTATGGTGAAAGCAAATGGGAAGCTAGTTTGCTGACGGGTTTTAGATGGAGGAAACCCAATGGGGGTTGGGTCATGAAAAGATAATTTTGGCAGTGGGAGGGAGAAGGGCCATATAGGTGGCAGGGATATTCCTTCCACTTTAGAACCTTGAAGCTGGTTGGTTATGTATCCAACATTTCTTCATCGTTGCCTCACTGCCGAATACTGTTTGTGTGCACATCTGTGTCCTCCTCCAGACCCTACATTCTTTGAAGTTTGGGACGCTCTTCTATTGGCTTTCGGGTCTCCTGTAGTGTCAGACACCAGTTTTGCATATGCATCCAACAGATGCTTTATTTAAATATTTTTTTAATATTTATTTATTTTTGAAAGAGAGAGTGTGAGTGGGGGAGGGGCAGAGGGAGAGGGAGACACAGAATCCGAAGCTGGCTCCAGGCTCTGAGCTGTCAGCACAGAGCCCGACATGGGGCTCGAGCCTGCAAACCGTGAGATCATGACCTGAGCCGAAGTCAGCACTTAACCGACTGAGCCACCCAGGCACCCCCAACAGATGCTATATTTAAAAAGTGTGGCTCTTCTTCATCTCACAAGACACGTCAGTAGGCTTAACACAGCTCTTCTGTATTCTGGGGATGGCATTATCTAGCAATCTAATTTGTTCCAGAAGACAGTGGAAGATAAAAATACACTTGCCTTTTTCTTTTGCTAAGTCACATGTGCCTTGAATTCCATTTCCATACATTAATGTCTTCTAGAAAATGACCTTTATAGTTCTCTCTTCACGTCAAACTAAAGCATTGCTATTGTCATTATTATTACTATCTCCTCATAAATATAAGAGACATTTTAGGGGAGATT